AATTGAAGATATCATCACGAAATGAACAAATCTGAGAGAGGTCGACATGTAGTACCTATATATGTAATATCAAAGCAATTGGACTTGCGGTTTTTCAACAAGAAGTCGAAAATATCACTTTTTACCAAAAATGACAAAAATATTCACCAAAAATAGAGAATTGAAGATATCATCACGAAATAAACAAATCTGAGAGAGGTCCACATGTAGTACCTATATATGTAGTATCAAAGCAATTGGACTTGCGGTTTTTAACAAGAAGTCGAAAATATCACTTTTTACCAAAAATGACAAAAATATTCGCCAAAATTAGAGAATTAAAGATATCATTACAAAATGAACAAATCTGAGAGAGGTCTACCCAAGGTACATATACACCAAGTATCAAAGCATTCAGGCTTGTAGTTTTCAAGAAGAAGTCGAAAAAGTAAAACACTGACACGGACGATCAGTCATATGATAAGCTCCGCTCGACAAAGTCGACAGCGGAGCTAAAAATTAACACTATTTTCTTGAGCAGAAAAGTGTTCTATAAATTAGTCACTATAGTATTAGAATGTGTCCTTTGCTAACTTATTTAACATTTTGAATGACTGAGTCAACTTTTTCTCCTTGCATACAATAAACCAGCAGAATTTTTCCATATTTTCTTTTTTATTAAGTCTCATAATTATAATTTACAGCGTGCCAAAGTAGAGTTATAGGTTAACTTACGCATCTTCTTGTTCCATTGCATCAGGATCAATATAACCACTCTGCATTGGTTTGGTGTGTTTGAGTAATGTTATATAGGCATGAAAAATATCAGACTTCACATTCTCCTCACGTTCTACAATAAAACAAGTCATTGCCAATGTTAGAATTTACTAAAAACAGAACAAAATGAAACCATAGAATACTACTGTACAATTTGACTGATACGATAAATTTTCATTTATGTGGGATTCCAAGTTAAGGTGTAAGCCCACTCAAGAATTCATATACCCAGAATTTATCCATTTTTTAATAAATTCGGGCAATATTAGAATATTGACTTAAAACAAGCAGCCTGTCGGCTGAGATAGCTCCGCTGTTAGCAATACACATTTCAATTAAAGAACTGAAGATATCATTAGAAAACAAGACATGAAATGTCACAGTCCCCGTTATTTGATTATAAAGTAGTACAAGGAACATCTGCAAACAGGTGAATAAATATGTACTCTTTGTAGTTACAACTCATCATAAAGTGATTTCCAATGATCTAGTTTTGTACTGACAACTAAAAACTTCCACTGACCCATGTTCAGAATCTCAGAGTATACAAGTGCAACAAAACTATTTGTCATACATGTATACTTGCTCAAGAAACTGCATTCATAAATCTGAGTGAACCTTGACTTCTTTGTTAATCAGGTCTTAGTATATTACCAGGACCTGGGTTTGTTTCAACATCACCACTGGGCATCAGAATCATTCTCATGTTGTCAAATACAATTTGTTATTAATATAGTAAGGTTTATTATTTACAAGTCATGAATGACACTGCCTTCGCTAGTTGTCATTCTAAAGTTGCATGGACATAAATTGGCAAACATGATTTCTATGGCATTTTCAAGTTTATA